AAAAAGTATGAGGAATTCATTAGACATAGTTTTGAGAGATTTTAGAGGGGTTCGATGATACATAGTTCAATTACTAAAGTCTCAAAGGCAGCAATTCGACTGTAATAGGCTAAGATCACTCTTATTGCCACTCATGTACAGTGACACAAGACAGAGTTCCTATTGGTTCAATTAACAAAGTGTAAGAACATTAGCACTAAACAAAAAGCGTCGAGGAGAGAGTGAAAGAGACGGGTTTCAGAAACGAAACTGTTATGTCAGGAGATGTCTCTTCTAACATAATGAAGCGCTCTCTATTCTCTTATAATATGATACTATCGCAATGTATTAAGGCATTTTCGTATTCTGCTTTATCAATGGCACTTTGAATACGGACAAAGAAAGTTAAAACGTGGAATAAGAGAAAGAGAGAAAAGAACACATTCTTTGCTGCTTTTTTTCTTCGGTTGTTTTTTTTTTGGAATAAAAGAAGGTCAAAGAATAAACAATAAGAAAATTAAAATAAAGACTTAAGAAGACATAACAGAAACGTACTTTCTTTTCGAGTGTTCTAGATTTTACTCTATATTTACTCTCGAATTTTACAATTCGTCATGGTGAACACATCTAAACGAAAAACTCAGACAACCATGGCTGCTAGAAGACGTTGGAAATCTGACACTCATGTTGATAAAAAACAAAATGATTTTGATGCATCTATGTTAATCGATTTAAATAAATTGGAACAAAAAGAGGAGCAAGATTTTGGTTTCAAGACTAAAATTAATTTGGAAGATATCGGTGCTCTATTTGAAATGATTAAAAATGAATCTTCTCAACGTTCATTGTCAGTTTTAATTTATTTAGCACTAACATATTTTGGCATTTCATGGAGAACTATAGATGATTTTCTTCAGCAAATTGGTGGAACAACATGTCGTACAGCACACAAATGGGCTGAAACATTTATTGATGGTGATTTGGATGAATTCAATGAAGAGTGTCGTGGTGGAAAACGTTTTGATAGTTTTTTCGACATATTTCCAGAATTAGAAAATCAAATGAAGTTGTTTGCAATTCAAGGATGTCAGCGAAAAGATGCATCTTTTACTTCGTTGGAGATGGCTCAATATCTAGATCAACAATACTACAAATTGACAGGACAGGTCAGAAGCTTTATTTATCTTTGTAGCGTAGACTTGGATTTTCGACGTAGAGACTCTTAGCAAACTAAGCTTTTAAAAAGTCTTTAAAAACGAAGAAGCAGCTAGTCTTATTGAAAATGTTTTTCAAGTTCGGTCTAAAATCCGGAGGATGTATGTTTCTTCTCCGTCTCGTGTCATATGTTTTTATTTCCTATTTCACAGGTAAAAACAAGTGATCAGTTAGTTCGCAGTGAACGAGTGTGTCGTCTTGATTTACGTCGTTATGGATTCACATTTGATAAAAATACACAGAGACCATATTGGTCTGGCCATGAACGACCAGATGTTGTGGAAAATAGAAAAGAATTTGTTCAAGCATTTTTAGAAAATAAACAAAATTATTATTTAGTTACAGATGGTATAAATCCTCAATGGATATTTCCAAAACAAGATCCAGTTATTCTGTTATGTGAGTAAACTGTTTTAATCATCTTCCTTCGTATACATCATAATTCCGCTCTTCTTTGTTTACCGATTTAGTTCATGATGAAACATGTTTCAGAAGTGGTGAGACTGCATCAAAGAGGTGGTTGTATTCGGACGAAACAATAAAGTTTTACAACAAAGGCAAGGGACGGAGTGTCATGTGAAGTGATTTTCTGGTATGTCATCCTGATAGTCCATTTTTCCAGTTATCCGAAGAAGAATGGGTAAAAGCAGTAAAGAAGCATCCAGATCTGTTGCAAGATAATAATATTAACTATGTGCCAAGATCCGCTTCAGATTCTTTACAAGTTGGTGTTGAAGGCTACTTCGACAATTCTGCAATTATTGAACAATTCACTCGATTGTTTAAGTTACTTCCTTTCAAGAAAGCTTATCAGAATCACAGAATTAACATCGTCATAGACAATGCTCGCACTCATAGTGCGCGTGAGTACAGTTTAAGTGAATTTGGAATGAAGGAAGGAACACGATGTCCAGTCGATATTATAGAATATACAGATAATAATGGTGATAAACAAGTTCTACAGTGTAGATTTACAGAAGGCGAGAAAAAAGGAAAACCAAAAGGACTGTTATTATTAGCTGAAGAATTAAAAATTAACCTGCCTTACAAAATTAAATTATCTGAATTGAAAGCACTGTTAGTCAAACATTCCGCATTTCAGAATGTATGTTTTTCGTTTAGTTCTATGTTTACTTATTGAGCGCAACTTTCTGCTTCGTTGCTTCCAATGTATTTTTAGGTTTCAAAGTTGGAAAAGCTTGCTGCCGAGTACAACGTTACCAACACTTTTTGTCCAAAATTCCACTGCGAGTGTAATGCTATAGAAGGTCTGTGGGCACATATGAAACAATTTGTTCGTCGTCGAAGTGATCAGACATTTCCAAAAATGATCAAACTAATTGAACAGTCAAAAGTTAATTTTATTCAAAGAAATGTTGCAATGAAATTATATTGACGATTTTGGCGAACGCTGAAAGCGTATGCTGGTGGTGATTCTTATGCACAAGTGCTTAAATTATATTTTAGTTCATTATGTAAAAGTGATGTTGAACAACATCGTAAAATAACGAACAGCAATCTGGATGACGAGAAATGTGAAGATGAAGATGAATATTGAACAGTATTTAGTTGTAAAAGAACTGTAGTTTTTATTTTTGCATACTTTTTACTAACGAAACGCGTTTTTTTTTGTTGGTAAATAAGTCTGGTGGTTGAATCAGTTACAGGAAAAAGAAATAGTTCAAAGTTCAATAAAGCTTTAGTAGGTATCAGTGGTTGCTGAGGTTAATCTTAGCCACATATCAAGAAATGCTTGCAAAGCATTTCCTAGGCCTCTCTAAAATCTCTCAAAACTATGTCTAATGAATTCCTCATACTTTTT